GCACTCCAGTATGGGCGACAGAGTGAGACTCCACTTCAAAAAAAAAAAAAAAAAAAACATAGCCAGGCATGGTGGCGTGTGCCTGTAGTTCCAGCTACTTGGAAGACTGAGGTGGAAGGATCGCCTGAGCCCAGCAGGTCGAGGCTGCAGTGGCCGCAAACAGTGTTCCATTGCACTCCAGTCTGGGTACAGAGTGTGACTCCAACCCCCCACCCCCCAAAAAAGTAGCTGCTGCCAGATGCAGTGACTCGTGCCTGTAGTCCCAGCTACTCAGGAAGCTGAGGCGGAAGGATCACTTGAGGCCAGGAGTTCGAGACCAGACTAAGCAACATTGGTTGAATATCGCTAATCTGAAAATATGAAATCCAAAAAGCTCAAAAGTCTGAAACACTGAGCACTACATGACGCTCAATAAGAAATGCTCACTGGAGCATTTCAAACCAGATTTTAGAATTAGCAATGCAAAACCAATAAGCATAATGTAAATACAGTCTGTGCCGCTTTGGTCAATGATGAACAATATATATGACAGTGGTCCCATAAGATGATGATACTGTATTTTTACTGGCCCTTTTCTATGTCCAGATACACAAATACTTGCCATTGCTACACCTGCCTAAAGTATGCAGTACAGGTTTGTAGTGCAGGGGGAGCAGCCATACCCTCCAGCCTACATGTGTGTAGATTATACCATCTAGGTTTATCTACGTGTACTCTAAGATGCTCGCACAATGACAAAATCACCTAATGTTGCAATTCTCAGAAAATACTCCAGCCGGGCGCGGTGGCTCAAGTCTGTAATGCCAGCACTTTGGAGGCCGAGGTGAGAGGATTGCCTGAGCCCAGGAGTTCGAAACCAGCCTGGGCAACATAGCAAGACCTCATCCCCACAAAAATTCAAAAAATTTGCCGAGCATGTTGGTGCGCGCCTATAGCCCCAGCTACTTGGGAGGCTAAGGAAAAAGGATCACCTGAGCCCGGAAGGTAGGGGCTACAATGAGTTGTGATCGTGCCACTGCCCTCCAATCCTAGGTGACAGAGTGAGACCCTGACTTAAAAAAAAAAAAAAAGAAAGAAAGAAAATACTCTATCCTTAGAGACATACGACTACAACATTTTTTTTTTTTTTTGAGTTGGAGTCTCACTCTGTCACCCAGACTGGAGTGCAGTGGCTGCTTCTGGCCACCGCAACCTCGACCTGCTGGGCTCAGGCGATCCTTCCACCTCAGCCTTCCAAGTAGCTGGAATTACAGGTATGCGCTACCATGCGCAGCTGATTTTTTTTTTTTTTTTTGATTTATTGTAGAGATGAGGTCTTGCTGCCCAAGCGGGTCTCAAACCTGCAGGCTCAGGCAATCCACTCACCTCACCCTCCCAAAGGTGCGGGATTACAGGCTGAGCCACCGAGCCCGGCTAGGTACCTCTCTTATATTGTAGATTATACCCCTCCACTAGTTTTTTTCTTCTTTTTTTTTTTGAGTCAGAGTCTCATTCTGTCACCCAGGCTGGAGTACAGTGGCATGCTCATGGCTACCGCAACCTCGACCTCCTAGGCTCAGGCAATCCTTCTGCTTCAGCCTTCCAAGTAGCTTAATTTTTTGTCCACTAGTTTTTCTAAACCAAGAAGAGTTATACCTCCACTTATAAATTTAAGTTTAAGGAGTTGTTAGAAGGCATGTTTGTGTGTTTATTTTTTATATCATGAAGTATTTCAAGATGTAAAAAAGTACTGAATGGGTCACATAAGCTGACAGTTTCAACGTCTACCAAGCAGTCAAAAGCAAACATCCAAAACCAACGCCTACGGCAAGGCAATTCTACCTCAAAGAAATATGGAACCTATGATGAAAGGTGGTGTAAGACTTGCCTACAGGGATTCAAATCCAGTCAAACAACACTTGTGCAGGCCCAGCAGAGACCCTGATAGCTGCCTGTTGGCAACCTCTGGTTGAAGGGAAAGGTATTGGCCAGAAGATCTCAGCAGGAATCCCCGCTTCCCGGCAGTTAACCCCTGCAGCATCCACCTTTAAGAAATCTTCTTCTTTTGGTGTTGGGGTCTCACTCTGTTGCCCAGGCTGGAGTACAGTGGCACGCTCATGGCTCACCACAGCCTTGACCTCTTTTTTCTCTTTTTTTTTTTTGAGTTAGAGTCTCACTCTGCCACCCAGACTGCAGTGCAGTGGCCGCTCCTGGCCATCGCAGTCTCGACCTGCTGGGCTCCAGTGATACTTCCGCCTCAGCCTTCCAAGTAGCTGGAACTACAGGTACGCGCTACCATGCCCGGCTAA